GGTGGGTAATGTTTGGGAAGTTGCCGTTTGGTCGCTCAAACCCAGACCTTTGACTCTCAGTCGTCAAGGGTCCCTTGAAAGTTTTCGGAAAATAGCAGGCTTATTAACAATTATAATTTTATCGATCGGCGTGGCAGAAGGTTCGTTTTTTTTCTTCGCAATTTCTTTGACCCAAATTAGATCGGCCAAATATAGTTTTGTCATTAACACCCTATAAGATAATTTTCAGGGCTTACTCTCTTAAATTAATCAATGTTTCAAAATATGTGAATTCTAATTTTGGGATCGTCGCACCCCTTCTCACAAAATATAGGTCAGAGCAAAGGTTTCGGTATCGAGAAAAGTCTCCGCACCAGAAAAAAAAGACTTCTCTAAAAATTATTAGCAGAGTTTTTGGCGCGCTAGGTATCAACCAAATGCACTAACAGCCCCACGTGGCTTTTCTGGTCACTTGCCAGGATTCGAAACATTCGAGTTTCTTGGTAGAACGGCGTGAAAACTGAAAGATAAGATAAGGCGTGTTCATTGTTTGAAGAGAGATCCACTCAACGATTACTGACCAGAGGCAGTTGGTTCAATCGAAGCCGCTAGAGCCGAATTATAATTTCCCAAGACAGTGATCAAGATGAAGTGTGAAGCAACCTGATATCTCCTATCGATCGAACAATGGGATATTTTTGATCAGCTGTCGATACGATTCATGACACCCAATGGAAAGAGAGCTCAGTGACAGATCAACTTTCATTATTCCATGATGCAATTAAAGCTGCCATTCTAGAGACCAACAAAATAGCAACTTTTAAGAGCTTCAAAGTTCTCGCAAAACATCGTCTATCCACTGGAAAACTCGGAGATGGCACACATCAGTGTAATTATACAAAACAGTAGATAGCGTTGAAGGTGCTCTCTGATTGGTTTCTCAAACTACGAATATCCTTTGCTTCCTTTGCTTCCTTTGCTTTTCATCTCCAATTTGAAACGCACTCCACTTTTCTTTTGGTTTGTTTTTAACGTTCCTTTCCGGTGAGCTTCTGGTTTTCCATAACTGGTTAATGAAGAAATTTTCCGGCCTTTCAATATCTGAAAAGTCGGTCTGGATTTGCATTAATTCAATTATAATGCGTTCTGCAACTGATCCAGAAAACCCGCACCACCTTTCAACCAATCAGATGCAACTGAAACTAGGGCCAATTCACTCGTGTTGTCTGGGTTACGGCTGCATTGTGGTTTTTTCTTGGAGCTCTTACTGACGTCTTTAGATATTTCTGTTTATTCTTATCAGCTGTTGGGAATCTGACTTTTATTTTGGCTTTACGACATTCGATCGGATTGCATCTTGCTTCTACATAGAAGACATTAGTATAGGAAATCGCATCGCTTCTGCTGGGTATTTGGGATGAAACCCCACCGTAAAACACTGTGAAGAGTTTTTTTATTTTTTTGCTGTATAGAATTTGATCGTCTTCAGGGTCCATAAATTAAAATTACCCGGAAATAGAAGTTCACTTGTTCAAGATATAGTGAGAGGGAACTTGGTCGATCACTAAACAGGGGTGTTCTAGTCAGTTTTGATTTGCATGAAGTTCACAATCTAAGATGGCAGACGATTCAAATAATTCTTAAATTTGATTTGTTTCTATACACATGCCCCAACGTGACACTGGTCCTTTAATAATTAGTCTTACAAAAACTTAGAAACGATGGAAAAATAGAACATTTAATATATCGATAAAAAAAAATAGCATGCTTGTTGAGTGCAACACAAGACATTCCTCGTGAGCCGCGGCGTCAATTAACCAATTGGGCTCATGTTTACTTTTAAGTCATAAGTACCAGTCACGTTCTTAAAGTGTGCTTCTGGACGAGACATGGCAACTTCAATTTCTTTAAATTAGTTAAAAAGGAAGTTGAAATGACCGTTTATGCGTTGCCCTTTTCTTTGTATTACGAGTAATTTCTGATGTTTTACAGCTCAAGTAAGTGTGGTGTGAATTTTGAATTGATGCTTGTGAGATAATCTGTGATGTCTGCCATAAGGAGCCTTGGGTAGTATCTCTTTCAAACCAACTCTTCAGCGGAAAAACGTTTATTTCATTATTCATTCATTTGTTTTTTACTCACACTAGTGTTATAATCAAAACATCGTAGTATCTGTAAGCGTTTGTCTGCTAAACAAAGGGTCTACTTTCTAAACATTTTCGCCGATATAAGCAAGTCAAAATATTATGCCCGAATCTTAGATGCTTTGTTTACATGTGTCGTCAAAAATTTTTGGAATGCGAAATATTGTTGAAATCAGTGTTATAAGCTTTTGGCTCATACAGCGTCCTAAGGAGGAGTGAGTTGATTTTTAAAGAGAATTATGCGTGGAGTTGAGACTAATCACAAAAAGTCCTTTTTTTTAAACCAAAACGGCTCAGAGCTACAAATCGTAACTTCCGTTGCGCGGTAACGGGAACCAGTCTCACTTAACAGTTTCAAATGATTAGTAATAATATCAAATCGATATTCGATGCTGCCGTGGTTCTGTTCAGTAATGAATCAAAATACGGTAAAGTAAAAAAGTTCTTTGTTTTATCTGTCCTCTTAGAAATCGTGAGTAAGAACAAAAAAAATGTTGTACAATTCCGCTCGTTACATAACTGTCGACAGTTGACGTGTCTCGTGACAATCAGAAGGCGTCTTAAAATCTGATGGATAACATTGTTTGTTTGTTTCTAATCTCCCGTAACAAACCGAACGTTGTGTCAATCAGGCACGTGCAAACATAGGCCTTCAGTGGAGAAGGTCGTTTTAGGGTCTGAATGCTTAAATAACCGAGAAAGCGATCGACATTTCAATGTTTATTCAAAACTTATGACAAAATTCTCGAAAGTGATTGGTTATCACCAGCTCGATTTGAGCATTAGTAGGACATGCGTCATGCTTGTAATTGGACAGTGTTATGTATATGTAATCACATGAGGCCAAGTACTATTAAGGATTAATTGCACGAGAGTTTTCAAAATTTTCCAAAATTTTGAAAACTCAAGTGCAATTAATCCTTAATAGTACGAGGTCTCATGGGATTACTTGTTTATCAATAAAGGGCAAAATTTATACGAAGGAAAATCACGCGCGCAGTCTATTTTTAACAAATTTCAAGATAACGAACGGTTGCTATGCAACGGATTAGCCAATCATTAACAGTTTAACAGGGACAGTTCACACATCAGGCATGTGTAAGTGAACAGAACGCGTCATGTGCGTGTACTGTTGTCTCGCATTTAGCCGAGTTAACTTTTGTTTTTGTTTTTATGAAAACGTATAACCGACATTCAGTTTCTTATTTAAATTTTGTCATAGTTTTGATTAATTGGTAACAGGACTTCGTGTCTTCCAATTCTGTCTGTAATCATACTAGTGATTATCAAATCGGACTCACGCTTCGCGGTCATCCGATTTTGTTAATCACTCATATGATTACAGACCGAATTGGATTTCACTCGGTCCTATATCCATTACAAATAAAAAAAAGTTAATTCCCTTGCTTTCCTCGCCTGATACCGGAATTACGATTGCATTAGATTGAACCGTCAGTTGCTTGACGATATTCCTAGAATATTCTTCTAGAGGGTGGGAGGATTTTTGCGGGATCCCATGGTAATTAACTCTTTACACCCTAACATCCAAATGCATATTCTCCAAACTGTTCTGTATACATTTCCTAAGGAACTGATAAGAGAATTTGTTTAACAATCAAGAACTTCTTTGATCGTTGATCATTCTCTTTATTCTCATGACCTTAATGTTTGATCCAGAAGTGACAATGTGAGGAGAAATTCGATGTGAGGTCACTCTCAGGGGTTAAAGGGTCGAAGGGGGGCTTTGAGGGAGAGACCAAAGAAAATTGCGCTTTTCTTTTATCCCAATTACTCCCTTCCCCTTCCCCTCTTCCTTATTTTTGGAATCTGGGAACGCAGTCTCTGATAAGGTAAATTATTCATATTGCATTGATTAGATGTAGAACATATGTATTTTAAGCTTAATTTTCATCTAAAAAGGCTCAGTTTTCGTACATCTTTTCGTTCTGCTTAATTTCAACTCTTTAAATTCGTGTTGGAGCGAGGTTAAGATTGGTTTTTTTCCATGATCACCTAAAATGGGGGG